CTGCTGAATTCGAATTCTGTACTTCCTGATCCAATTCAACCGCATTTTGGTTCGAGATATTCACTACTACAACATGTGCCTGCGCAGTTATCCGGGGATCTTTCTTATTTAGCTCCATATAGAACAGTAGTGAATTGTCATTCGTTATACTCATCGATGCCATGTTATCACCTACATCATAATCTATCTTCAAGCAAGAAGTCATTTTATCGACTTTCTTCTCGGCGGATATAATATCAACCGGATTCCCGTAATTGTATTCACTAGGTAATAGAATACCAAAAGTCATTGCCTTGCATGTTATGAAGACCTTAAAGCATTCCATATCTGAATCCAGAAATATAAATTTAATACTTAAATTAAGACAAGTGTAATGTCTTTACATTAAACTGATAATATTAAACCAACACCATTTGTAATCTACCAGGTAAAATCACCTAATTTGATATAATATTATTATTTGTTTTGTACCAAATTATATAGCATTTATAAAAGCTGCTAATATAAAGTCAGCAATAGATGATTCCAGGAATGAAAGATCTACTGAATTCTTCAATAGTAATCACATAAAGGCATTATCTTTAGATGAATGACACAATGCATTCAGTACCAAACATAATTCAATGTGCAATATCAAGCATAACCTGTCATGTTAAATTTTTTTACATGGAGGTAGACATGCAAAAGAGTCTGATGAATTTACATTGAGGATTATGTTGACCCCCAAAAATGAATCAACAGATATCGGGCACACTCACGTCAAGTCAAGTACGATTTCGGAGCGTTCCTACCGGAATGATAAAGGTAGCAGTGATGAAGTGGACGGGGGAGATACTTTGTGGCGAGAGACAATATTGTTCGAGCTCTGGCCGGTGGAACGTAGATGATTGCGCTAACAACGATCGCTCGATTTTACTCTAACTAATCTATGTCATTGTGAACAAAAATATGTGGAATGATAGATAAAATGTTCGTGCGGTTCTTCCAAGAGTTCAAGTGTATCGTCCAAATATATCGCCATATGTTTTTCTTTTATCACTGTGATTCCCCCTTTTTCATTACAAGGAAGACCTATTTATATTGACTTGGCCGATGTGGTGACCTCTGGATCAGAGCCACGTGGGCTCATCCATTTAACTAAGATTTCACATCACCATCCATTCATACAATTAATACATTGATAAGAGGTCGCCGCACTATACAATAGACTGACATACTGACAACTTTATTATAAGCATTACATCAATTACTTCAGAGATCCTCAGATCTTTGACGAGGAAGCAGGGTCGGTTTCGTGAGTCTCGAATGAACTAAGTGCCTCAGAGAAATCCGAGGTGGTTCCCAAGTGATGAACATCAGCATTTTGTCAACCTCTAGTCGTGCAATGTGAGGACTTCGGCCTTTTGACTTTCTTTGTGTGTCCGACCTACTGGGTCTTCTTTTGACTTCTTGTTGACTACTGCCCACGTGTCATGCCATGTGGCCTCATTCTATTGGGCCTCGAAATCGAGGGGTAACATACTACATTGTATTGGAAGATGTATAAGATCACATAATGATACATGAATAGCTACTAGTTATTGATAAATTCTGTAATATTTTGAATGTCCATTCAGCCGAAATACAAAACTAAATTTTCTTTTCATTACAAAGCCGAAATCAAAAGACATAACTTGTAAACTGAAATTTATTTTTGAGGAAATCAGCAACATCAACCAAAACATGTCATTGGAGAAATTCAATGTAAGGTTACATAAACAAGAATAATACAATGCAGAGATTAAGTTCTTGGACAAAAATGCCTATTGCTGTTGAATTCCGATTTTCTCAAATGATTTCCTCGGAGAATCGGCTCAAAACAATACTAGATGGGAGTTTAACACAGAAGCATGGGGCTTAACACAGAAGCAATTTTGAAGTCGTCACCGTCGCCATTGCTGCTGTTATCGCATCATTAATTTCGTGATTTGAATTTGAAATCCCTTACATTGAGCAATCTCAATTAAATCCATCCATTTCTGTTGTGCATTTTCATTTTCAGTTACGGGTGAATATATGGAAAGTTTTGGTTACAATAATAGTGGTTTTCTTTTTAGTGACATAGTAATTCTACTTTTTTTTTTTTTTTTTTTTAATACAATTCTACTTTTTATTTTAATCAAGTAGTAAAAAGTGAAATTTTATAAATATGTAACGAGTATTGTGATTTTTTTTCCTTTGAAATATTAACAATCAGAAATTGGGCTCCGAAATCAATCAAGTATGGGATTTGAAAAGGTGGTTTTGGACATGTTTAGATTAGACATGGGTGTCGAGTGGGTCGATTTGAGTATTTCAATACCTGGAACCATCCATTATATTTCGAGCTCAATAGCTAAACATTAT